TTAAAAAATATTGGTACCTAAAGAAAGGTCTTATCACAAGGAAAACATCTGTGAAATATGAAAGCCCTGGCACCAGCCATTCAAAAGTTCTGGCAAAGGTTAAAGCTTTTTGAAAGTAGGTCAAACTCCAAGATCAAAGTCATGAGGTCCAAAATATTGATACCAAAGGAAAGGTCTTATCACAAGAAAAGCATAAGTGAAATATGAAAGCACAAGCAGCAACCATTTTCAAGTTGTAGGCAAAGTTTAAGCTTTTACAAATGTAGGTCAAACTCAAAGGTTAAGGTTAGGAGGTTAAAAATGTTGGTACCCAAAGGAAGGTCTTGTCATTAGGAATATACATGTGATAGATGAAAGCCCTATCAGCAACCATTAAAAAGTTATGTCCAAGGTTAAAGTTTTTTAAAAAGTAGGTCAAACTCCAAGATCAAGGTCAAAAGGACACCTATAGCTATATGATTTTTCATTTCCTTACTACATGTATGATGAAAACAATATTGTTTAAATCTTTTTTCTTATAGAAGATAATAATGCAACAATGGTAAATTCTTTAAAATAATGATTGTACTTCATTTTAGAGTGAAATCCTTTTTTTATTTCCTGAATGAATAAAAATTGTTTAAATCTTCTAAAATTTATTACTGATAGAAGACAATAATGCAAGATGTGGCAACTGCATTAAAATGAAAATTATACATCAAGTAAACGTTGAGAACTAAAAATTTTTTATTGCCACAAGGGAAAGACCTGTATGATTTACATAATGAAACGTGCTAAAGTATTGATTTTGAGATGGATTGCAGCACAGCATGGGAAAAAGCAAAAAAGTGTGCTGCTAAGTTTCCAGTTTATAGAATTAGCAGTGTATCGGAAAACAAATTATCTTTCACCGTCTTCAACAGAGGAAAATACTATTTGCAATTATTCATAAACGTCTTTTTGGTTGTTTGTCATTATAGTTAATAAAATGAATGTTGAAGCTTCAACTTGAAACTTAAACTTGAGAACAATTATGTCAGTGTTTAATTTTTGTTTTGAAAGAATCAGGTTTGCTTTGCACTGGACTGGTATGAAATTTCAAGAGAATATTTTCAATTAATTTGTTGTTTTTTTTTAACAGTAATTTATTGAAAATAAATATTTACGTAAGTTTAACTTTTACAGTAACACATGTATTAGTTATATATAATCTTATTCATATTATGTAGTAAAACTTGCTAACCAAATTAAAGAACTTGCTTATGAAGAACACAAGCAATGCTTTCCATTTAAGGGAATGAATAAAAACATCCTATGAAATTCTTTTAGTTAAAGCAATGACTATATTTGTAATTCATAAAAATCATTTCAATAGATGTATGTAACCAAAAAAAAAAAAAAAAAAAAAAAAAAAAAAAAAAAAAAAATTATGGAATCATTTAATTTTTAAGAGTCAATGTTCATGGGGACATAATTTCTTGGGTAACTCTTTAATAATCTTTTAAAGATTCAATGAAACAATATGTAAACAAAATAATTGTTCATGGGGATGTAAAATCATGGGTACATGTAAAAGTGACCCAGGAAATCCACAAACATTCCCCCCTTCCACAAACAATTATGATTCCACAGTGTTTGTTGAGCAGATTAAACTGTAGTAGTTAAGTTACAGATTTATTCATAAAGGTGTGAATGGATCTTAATGAAATCTAAGAATGAAATGTTTCTTGTTGGCCCTTATAGGTATCTTCAAACACAGTCAGAGTGTATCCAGGTCATATCTGACAGATGTGTCCTCTCGGAGTGACCAGTCCGGGGTGCTGGGGACCTTCAATGCTGCTTCCAGTATTGGCTTTATCCTAGGTCCAATGGTAGGGGGCAGATTGGCAGAGACTAGTGGGGGATTCTATAAAGTCACCTTCCTATGTACTGCTATATTTGTTCTCAATGCAGGTAGGACGTACATGTATATCAGTAGTACTAAATTGGCTTTAATTTTGTATCAGTATGTTTTGCACTATAGGACTTAGCAAAAACTCTATGTCAGATGCATCTTTTATTTACCATATTAATGTTTTTTGACATGTCTAAACTGATTGGAATGCAGTCTTTAGTTAATGTTTTGTGCAGTCTGCTAACTAGGAAATGAGAGAGTCAATCTATATTTGGTGTTATAAGAATGATGATCAATGTGACAATAGAAAATACTTTGCAGAGAGGGAAGTTTTGCAAGCCTTATCATTTGCTCCCAGGATGATTGTAAACCTCTCCAACACCAAATAAACATTCTTCATATATTCATATTTATAAAAGTTTTACAGTATAAAATGCTTATAGCAAAATCAGGAACAAAGGATTTGATTCTTCATGTTTTAAAAATACATGTACAGGGAATTAAAATCACTTTGCTGGAAGCAAGTGTGAATTCATTATAGGCGTGCTTGCTGTAATCAGTTTTTACTGCATAGGATTCTCATTTCGACATTCTTACGGTATATACCGGTAATTATTCTGTATTGAACTGTCTTGTTTTTTTCTGATAGATCTAATATATCTTTCCTATTGAAATACTTATTTATAAAAATCATAGACATGTTCTAGAAGCAAAGTTTTAGGTATTCAGTATAAAGTTATTTAAAATAGATATTTTTACATGCCAGGAGAAAGCCCATCTTCAAAGGCAAAGAAAAGTTATCTCTACGAAATGCTATAATTCCTCTCAAGATTTGCATCTATACAGATTCTGATGTGTTTTACAGAAAATCTAAAAAAAAATTATGAATTTAAAGAGAAAAAAAATATCTAAGCTTTAAAACAACTATGGATGACTTCAGATGACAGACATGTCCCTTAAAGATTCTAGTCTTGTTAAAGCTTACTTTTAATACTTGAAAGCTGAATCTTTAATAACATTTTACAATTCAAGAAGCTTCCTTTTTAAACCAATGGAAAGCTAACCTTTTCTTTACGGGAAAACTAAGATTAACAAAAAACTGCAGAATATCGCACAAATTTTAGCGAGGATGTAATTTTGACATTTGAGATCGCTAAAATTAAATATCGCTAACATTTTAGTCCGCATTAGGGGGGTTACTGTTGTCTTTCTATGCACCATAAAATCACTAAAATTACTTCTTGCTAAAATTAATACCGATTTTGAAGAACAATTCGCTAAATTTGCGTCTCACTAATAATTCCACCATTATGGTATTGTTCCCTGTGCAATCACCTGAGCAATCAAAGACAAAAACCTCAGTGATGTTGTAAAGTAAAAAAAAGGTTACAGGAAACTAGCTTATAAAAATTAACGCTTACAGAGAAGCGATTTTCACTCACTGTGGTTTTGAATCATATAATGAACTTATGGGATATAATGATTTTCGTTTATAACAAATCATTATTGTTCATCACTGGCACTTTGCTATGAGCATGTTTTACTGACTACATGTTTGTTTGTTCAATGGTCATTAGAAGAGTACATTACATATTTGTCATACTCACTAAAGCAAAATTACTCTTGAATCTTTAGTGTTTGTGTGGGCAGTAGTAGAGGACAAAGAATCCAGCAATTGTAACAAGGGAAACACCCCACTGAGAAATGATTCTGAAGATTCCCTAAAAAGACTAAATTCAGGTGAAGAAAACTTCAGTCCTAAGCTTCTTCTTCAATCCCTTAGAACGTTTGACTGGAAAAACCTCTGGGATCTGTTTCTAATCAAGTTCTGTCTAGGCTTCTCCATATTACTGTACAGGAGCAACTTTTCACTGACAATGCGAGAGATATTTCATATGTCACCCAGTAACATTGGTTACCTCATTTCATACTCGGCAACCATCGCAGCTCTCAGTGGATTTCTAGTGGGGAGAATCTCAAAACTGTTTAGAAGTGATGCTCAGATAGTTTTATATATGAGTGTATTTCAAACATTTACTCTGTTATCTTTAAGTAATGTCAGTAACATTGTGTTATATGTAATCTGTTATACCCCTTTAAGCATTATTACTTCAATGCTGAGAGTTTCATCTACAAGCCTTACGATACAACGATGTGGCGGGAAAAATGTGGGAGGTATTATTGGAATGAGTCAGAGTGTGATGTCATTAGCACGCATGCTCTCTCCATTCATTTCTGGACTTGTTATGGAAGTGAGTTACTCAGGAACTGCAGTTGTTGGATCTCTTGTATCAAGTGTTGCTGTGATATTGTTGATTTTGAGGCCACAAGAGCCGAAAGTTTATAAAGAAAAAGTGCAATAAATTTAGTAAAAAAGTTTTTTCCAAGTCATTTTATTGCTGAACAATAGAAGAAATCAAAATTAATGTTTTTCTCCCAAATCTCCATTTGCCAAATGAAGATTTTTATGCCAAGATCTTCCAGTCTGCAGATATTCATGGATCTAGATAACCAGTCTTCCAAATGAATTTCAAGGAATGGAGACATATACTGGTGATACAAGCAAATATAGTATATCGATGACCAAGTTTACGAAACATATTAATATTTTCGGTTGTGAAGAGTCATCACAACTTTCTTTGAAAATTAAGTTTATTCCTTGTCTTGATGACAAATCCAACTTGTGTGAAAACATATTATGTAATGTTCTTGAAGATCACTCATGTCTGGCTTTTTTTGAAATATGTTAACGCAATATGCAGATCTAGAATAGTAACAATTCATTAAAAACAATTCCATACATTTTATAACAGAAGTAAGCAGGATTAGTTTGAAAAAGATAGAAATAAAAAAAAAGCATCTATACACAAGGTCCTTCAAACCAGCAACAAACATAGCAATTTACTCTCAGATGAACATAATTTGCATTTCAAGCTTCTCGCATTTAAAACATATATTCAAACTTACAAATAATAAATTGGTGAATTCAGTTGAATTTGTACATGTACATAGAAATCAATGTCTTCAGTGTACAATCACACTGCAACTAAAAGAAACTAATAGCAGTAAATATCTTAAGAGCTTTTGGAAACAGTACAATATCAAAAGGTTAAAAAAATTTACATTTTATAAATAGGATATTTCAAGAAGAAAAAAGAAAGAAAAAAGTTACAGAAACACAAACTAACTCAAAAGTTCGTATGGTAAATTGTCAAGATAATAGAGAGTTTCCTGCTATTATACCAACAATTAAAGACAATATACAGGTCATTTGTAAATCATTCAAGATATTAATTTTGATGTTGCTTCTGGGTCTTGATATCTAACATGTTTATGTGTATTTTTAAAAATACTCATGGAAAGATATACTAAAATTTAAAATATATTTTGGCGGATATATACATCTAACGATTTCATAGTATATAGTATACATGTGTATAAAATTAAATTAATAGGTTTCAAGATTAAAAAAATGTGCAATGACATATCACACATAGGCGCCACCAGAAGTAAATGATAAACTTGGAGTGCGCATGTGCTATTTTGATTTCGATAACATGGTTACATCTTTAAATCTTTAGATCTATATAATATTGGACTGTACAAATGATTTTGAATATTTCACGCATAATTTTAAAACAGTACATAAATGACAAGATTGAATCGTAATTAAGTTTTGATTTTTGGAGTTACTGTGAAATCACTTATTTTTATGGGGTCTAATTTTCGTTGTTTTTTGGTGGTACATGTATGAAGAGACCCACGTATTCATGTCTTACACGAAGTGTAAAATTTCCAACAACTCGACATTTCTTCATCTACGAAATTCCCACAGACCATGCAGTATTTTTTCTTAAACCACGAAATCTGCCCCGACAAAAAATGTGTGATTTTACAGTATTTAACATGAATTTTAGACATTTTATTCCCTAGAACATTTTGCGGTAGCTAGCTAATCATATTGACTTTAGTTATACTAATTATAGAAATCAGTATCACACAAAGAATGTCTAGCACAGAGGTGTGACTTGCTGAAGACTGGGATCCGCTCCTTTTCTCTGGTGAAGATGTTGTGGGGGGAAAGACTTTGTAATCTGCAAAAAAAGAAACAATGACAATTTGGAGAGAGAGAGAGAGAGAGAGAGAGAGAGAAAGAGAGAGAGAGACCTTGATTGATTAGTACTATTGAGGGTGAAAATGAGGACACAGGGAGCCCCTACAAAGTATTCGGGTCAGTGACTCACCAGGGCTAAATTCATATCGTCCCAGGAAGCCCGTATGTTCGTAGTTATCAGTGGAACTCATCAGAACCCGGAAGTAAGCGCCGTCGGACACTCGTTTAGTGATAAGTGACTGCATAACACCACAGATAGGTTTAAAACCCCTGTCTGGTCCATCGTGGGCGAAGGCGGTAAACGACACGTGGTCATTCTCACCTTCACAGCTATAAAAGAAAAAATAAACGGGGAACATGATAACAATGTATAAGATTAGGAGAGCTAAAGAAGGATACATACATGTTCCCTCTTTCAGGATCACTGAGTACAAGTATATTTAAAAGGAATAGAGTAAAGAAAACCAGCAACAACATATACTCAAAATAACTGTATTTAAAGTCGGTTTAGTCATAAAAAGAGTATTTCCAATCCGAAGTTTTTTTTTACTGAAAGCTTTTACTGAGAGTTTTCTACGTAATAAGTGATGACCTAATTACAAAAGTTAATATCAGGGAAAGTGTACTGTGGCGTAACAATATTATTTTGTGACGTAATCCTGAAATGATCCCATAACCCTATGTGTTCATAAGGCTTTTTGACCACATGATAACGTTGGCACAGAGCTCTAATGAGCTTCTTTTTCTTCTTCAAAAAAGACTTTTAAATGAACATTGCTTTGGTGACAGAAAGATAGAGGATATTCAATGTTTTGTAGTTGGATATGGAATTTATTTCACAAGTGGGACAGGGTTTTCTGATATTTTGAAGCAATAGTGAAAATATAAAAAAAAAATCCTGCCTCACGAGTGAAATAAATTCCATATTCAACTACAAAACATTGAATTTTTTGCTTTATTACATTATCTTTGATTTTCCCGTTGCTTCTTACTTTTCTTAACACAGTGTCCTATGACGTCCTATGACGAGCTCTGACGTCATAGTTGAGCATAGCTTAGCAGTTGTGAGATTGAAAACATTGTGACATGGATTTTAGCAAATATATTTGGGAAGAAATTGGCAGTTTTAGTCTATCAGGATGTTTTAGTTACTATCTCTATCTTATTACAGACCAGAAATTATTTTTTTTACTTACTTTGACATCCTTTCAAACTGTGAGAGAATATCACTCTGGTATCCTTTCACAATATGAGAGAATATTACTTTCATTCATTCAATAAATAGAGGATATTCAATGTTTTGTAGATGAATATGGAATTTATTTCACGAGTGGGACAGGATTTTTTTTTTTATATTTTCAAAATATCAAAAAATCCTGTCTCACGAGTGAAATAAATTCCATATTCTTCAACAAAACATTGAATTTTCTGTTTATTACATTTTCTTTGATTTTCCCTTTGCCTGTCTTTTCGTAACAAATTGTCATAGGCTATGACGTCATAGTTGAGCGGTTGAGACGTCATAGCTAAGCGATTGAGAGATTGAAAAACGTTGTATACATGAATTTTTAACAACATATTTGGGGAAACTGGCAGTTTTAGTCTCTGTCCGTATGTTTTATTTACTCTCTCTCTCTCTTATAACAGCCAGCTAGTTAAAAAAAAAAAAAAAAAAAAAAAAAAAAAAAAAAAAAAACAAGAGGCCCAGGGGCCACATCGCTCACCTGAGCACTATGGCTAGGAAAAAGCAGAAATCACTTCAATCTTGAAAGGTTGAAAAGTTTAAATATAAAAGTGGTTGGGGGGGGGGGGGGTGTCATGAATTGAACAAATTTGAATCTACATTATCTGAGGATGCTTCCATTTAAATATGACCAATCATGGCTTTGCTGTTCTTGAGTAGAAGATTTTTAAAGATTTAACCTATGTATTCCTATGTAAAACTTTGATTACCCATTGTGGCCCCACCCGACCCCCAGGGGACATGTTTAAACAAACTTGAATGTACACTATCTAAGAATGCTTCCATATAAATATGACCAATCATGGCTTTGCTATTCTTAACAAATAGTTTTTTTTTAAAGATTTTTAGTATGTGTTCCTATGTAAAACTTTGATCGCCCATTATGGCCCGAACCGACCCCCAGGGGTCATGATTTGAACAAATTCAAATGTACACTATCTGAGGATGCTACCATATAAATATGACCAATCATGGCTTTGCTTTTCTTAACAAATAGTTTTTTAAAATGATTTTTACTATGTGTTCCTATGTAAAACTTTGATCGCCCATTGTGGCCCCATCCGACCCCCGGGGGTCATGAGTTGAATAAATTTGAATGTACACTATCTGAGGATGCTTCCATATAAATATGACCAATCATGGCTTTGCTGTTCTTGAGAAGAAGATTTTTAAAGAGTTTTCCTATATATTCCTATGTAAAACTTTGATCGCCCATTGTGGTCCCACCCGACCCCCAAGGGTCATGAGTTGAACAAATTTGAATCTACACTACCTGAGGATGCTACCATATAAATATGACCAATTATGGCTTTGTTGTTCTTGAGAAGAAGATTTTTAAAGATTTTTCCTATATCTTCCTATGTAAAACTTTGATCGCCCATTGTGGCCCCACCCGACCCTCGGGGGTCATGATTTGAACAAACTTGAATCTACACTATCTGAGGATGCTACCATATGAATATGACCAATTATGGCTTTGCTGTTCTTCAGAAGAAGATTTTTAAAGATTTTTCCTGTATATTTCCTATGTAAAACTTTGATCGCCCATTGCGGCCCCACCCGACCCCTGGGGGTCATGATTTGAACAAACTTAAATCTGCACTACCTGAGGATGCTTCCACATAAGTTTCATGTTTTCAAGCACAGTGGTTCTTGAGAAGAAGATTTTTAAATGATGCCATTAATTTTTCACAAATTCTCAATTATCTTCCCTTGGAAGAAGGTGTGGCGATTCGTTTGAACAAACTTGAATCCCCTTTACCCAAGGATACTTTGTGGCAAGTTTGGTTGAAATTGGCCCAGTGGTTCTTGAGAAGAAGTCGAAAATGTGAAAAGTTTACAGACGGACAGACAGACGGACAGACGGACTACAGACAAAATGTGATCAGAAAAGCTCACTTGAGCCTTCGGCTCAGGTGAGCTAAAAACACTGTGAGAATACCATTTTGATATCCTTTCACACTGTGTCAGAATATTACTTTTATTCAATAAATAAATTACAGTAATTCACTGTTGAAAATGTAATAAATCACAGTATTTCATTGGTGAAAATGTAATTATATAGCTTATCAGCAATTGCATTTCTTTACTGGTTAATTAATAATTCTGCTTTATGGCTGGTTACTTTGTCACGAAATATTTTTCATCCTTCCGTTATAAGTACTTTATTTAACAAAACTAAACTATAACAATGAAATGGTTTTGAAACGAAATATTAGTAAAGAGACTAAGCATACAAAGAAAACAGAACAACTCAACCAGACCTTTTTCTACTTCCAGCATTATTTTGACAATTATGACGTCATAGTCTGGTATTTTTAAACTGAACAAGAAAGGTAATGTTATGGTATTCATAGTAGTGAACATAAAAAAAAAACTTTGTTTAAACCTGGTATCAATCTCTTAGTACATGTACGTATGTCCAAGTAATGTCCAAATGGTGGCTTACAACCTTTTCCTAAATAAAATATTATTTTCTTTCTACTTCATATTTACGGTATTGAACAGATATGATTTTTAACGCCATTTTAGGACAATACTTTGGTGAAGCCACAATAAACGTTTATTTTCCTTATGTCTCTAAAGATATCCAGATCACCAACTTCCGTTAAATGCTTTTCATTTCATCAAACAATATTTAGAACTTTTCAAATGTTTCTTGTATATGTGAAGTTTTGTGAGAGTTAAATTATTAAACAACAAACTTACACTCCCCCTCTTCCAACGTCGAAATTGTCCAGGGTAATGGTCACTCGTTCTCCTGGTTCGCCGCGGAAAACGTACTCACACTGAGTATGTGAGGGGTAATATCCGGGGTAGTTAGGGGTGGTAAAGTTACCCACCTTTTGCAGGGTGCTGTTATATAGGAATTTACAAAGGGGACGACCTGTCAAATAAAGCATGAAAGAGGGATTGCCAAAAACAAACAAACAAACATAAACAAACAAACAGTGCTATAAAGGGTAAGGTCAAATGACTTTACATACGGTTATCAATACGTTTTCAAAAGAATAAACTAACAAAGTAAATTATTAAATAACTAACATAGAAAATAAGTATAATTTAAGCTATTGGTTAACATGTTCGTTACGAAATTCATTTCTTCACGTTGTGTATTTATACCAGTTGATCACTCGCAGCGTATACATATTGTATTATTCAATCGTTGTTTTCATCAGATTAATATGTATAGTAACAATATAATACTTGCTATGATTGTGATTAAATAATCGGTAAATAGTTGTAAAAGATATTGATTATATGCTGTCAATCGTATATTATTGTTTTGGAGTCGGGTTCACTGTATTTCGACCCGGTCTCGATCTCGATAGCATGTTTGATGTCATTTATCACGTTTCATCTTTGAACACTTCATTGTCATTGTCATTGTTTATATCAACTTAATAAAGTAATAGCTACTTGTACTTATCACATTTTGGAAGATAAAATCCCATTTTGTATGGTTATTAATGATTCTCCATTAGAAAACTTCACTGCGTGCACTTTCCCTGATTTGTTTATTCCGGAAGTGGCATAGAGCCGAAAATTCGTCTGCTGGAGGAGAAAGGGGGGAGAGAAATTCGGAGTCAGAAGCCGAGAACATCTCCCATACACACCCTATTACAAGGGATGGCAGACCTAATGCAGACCAGATGGGTAATTATATTAGTCAAGTTATATTAAATAGAGACGCTGAGATATCCCTGTGGGAGGCCCATAAGTAGAGTTGGGAGACCCATCGACGGGAAAACTTATGGGAGAATTTATGGGAGTTACAATTTATTAATAAAAGTGTATAGGACTTATAGGTTAGGTATAAATAAAGTATATTAAATTAAGGAAAGTATATTTTGGTACAAGTAGCTAATTTTTATAATTATTTTGGGAGATTTAGATTATTCATACGGGTTGTAGGAGTGACATTACTTTTTGGTGTCAGATATTGTGATTTTTATTATTTCAATAGTCATAACAAATTGTACATAGTGTAAATAAATTTTATTTGTTGAACTTTTACCCTGACTTAATTATTTATTCCAAATAAAGTTGACGTACGGGAGTGGAAAGCCCACATAGTTGCCCCACTCTCTCCCGAGGTTGGAGGCGCAACATGTTAACTATGGATAACAAGAAAACATTGATGTAACCATCAATTGTCGCCCGGGAAATAAATAAAGTAAACAATGGAAATGAGTCTTGATCATCAAACCGCTTCGATATGTGTGAAAAGGCATGCGTCTAAATGATGGAGACGATAGTAGAGACTATTTTGGAAACTTACATGTATAGTCGGATGAAAATCGAACAAAAACGATACCCTTTTAAACTTTATCAATTCCTCAAGTAAATGTTGGCTGCATAAAATATAATTTGAAACCAGACACATGCATCACCTATTTTCAAAAATGTCTTTCACGTTAAGATTATAAAACACGAACTGTGTAAAGTACGTTTTTACGTTTTTATGCGATAAGTAAAATTCGATGTTCTAAAAAAGGGACCTGTCGTTTTTTGATAGTAAATGATAAGCAACTTTATATATTAAATATGAAAAACATATATATTTTTACAGATTCACTTTATGGAAGTAAATATATTGTGTATCTCGTAATTTATAAAGGGAAAGAACATTCTGATTAACAATCTTTTTAATGTTTAGAAAACCTTTAATTCTGAATAACTTCTCCCACCTCAATCCCCATATACCAACACTTAAACTTATATGTATAGAGCAGCCCGGTCCTCCGGGCTGCAAAATGATAATAGATAAATCCAGAACTTTAATACTTTACTAAACACCACCAGTTCTTCTCTACTATTGTTTATGTAAGCTGAACTCTATCAAGATGTGTTGAAAAAGAATATGAACACATACCATTATCTGCTATCGATTGTACGCCCGTTGTTATTCCAAAATCTGAAACAAGACAGAAAAAATATTGACCATGACAACAACAGTTTTATAATTTAATTTAAACAGATGTTTAGCAATCGAATAAACCGAAACCTTATAGATGTTTTGCAATTGAATAAACTGCATTCTACAGCTCTATAAAAGTTATGAAATTTCACCTTTTCTAAATTTGTACTGGAACTCGAATCCCGAGGCCTGTCCCTTGTCTCCTCCGGGCAGACTGACAAACCTGACCCTGAGCCAGTTGTTGACGGACATGTATTGTAGGGGTAGCCTGTCCCCACAGAACATGATACTGACCTCGTCATAGGCTTCAGAGATATAAATAGATACGGAATCCTCCAACTTACAATCCCTGTAAAAGGACATGTAATTTTTTAGAAAGTGAAAATTCAAGTGCATCCTTGCGTACTTTAGAATAAACAGAGAGAGAGAGAGAGATAGAGAGAGAGAGAGAGAAAACAAGGTTGAGGTCCAATGAACACTGACAGTTCACAAAATTAATTGGATAAGGTAAATAATTCATGTTTAGTTTCTATAAACTAGTCACGAGTACCTTTATATGCATTGAATTACAAGTTTTCAGAGTAAAATTAAGAATGTAATGTTTGTGAAGCAGGGGAATTATGTTTTCTCCTTAAATTTTTCAAAATGATAACAATAGTTATTGATTTGAAATGCTTGATTTGTATATTTTTTGATGCACACCATCTTTTATGCCGAACAATAACATTTTGTGTGCAAGTAAAAGAAAATAATAAATAGATCCATTATCCCCAATCCTTAACAATAAAACATTCAAAAGCAAAACAAAGTCTGGACTTAAAACGAAGTGAGCATTGAGACCCTTTTACAAGCAGCCTTGTAGAACAAAGGCCAACTATCATAAAAAAGAAATAAAAAATTATGTCATATTCCTCTGGGAAATCAGCCCAGAAAACTGAAAACATTTCTCTATACTGTCAATGTTGACTGGTCATATAAGCAGAAAATCCCTTGATTATTGGACTAATGAACACACTTGGAGTAAATTTGATTAATTTTCCGCTTTCATCAATTTACTGTCAATGGTGGAGGACTGTTCTTGATAAGGCGTGGGGGATTATTTGAACGAATGACTGCATCTGTAGCCTGGAGACCAGGTGTCTGTCTAGCAGGGGATAAAATAATTATACACAGGAGAACGTTTCTGTTTTTTTTTTTTTTTTTTTTTTTTTTTTTACAGATAGAGCCCTCTTCGAGTAAGTGCAGCCATTGCAATGATGAAATTGTGTGGTTCCTCAATAGATATAGTGGAACGAGTCTCTATTCAATTATTCTGTTTCATTCCAGCGGTCCTAATCAATGATAATATTGAATCAGGATTTACAAATTGATATTTTTTTTTTTACATTTAGGAAAATTATCTGCATGTCAAAAACAGGCTGTGTGAGTTTATTTATATTTCAGAGACACATTATTCAAATCCTGGAAATAAAGCTATGAGGGCATACATGATTAATAACGATTTTTTGCATTTAAAAGAGGAGGCAAACATTCAAAAAGCAAGAAATCATCTATTTTATATGAGTAAAACTCGATACAGTTTGAAGCAATATTAGGCATATTGACAACAAATTTATTTGCAATTCTCTTTCCTCTATGTAATGAGGAAAATCTAAAGTCAAACAAAAGTAAGACAACATTTGTTACAAGGCCCACTATTGAAATAATTATTTCAATTTTGGTTGATGATGCATTTCAAAAACAAAAACCAGGTTGCAACCACTCTTGAAATAGCGTTCACTAATGAAATAATAATTTTAATAGTGTTATAAACGCATTTCAAAAACAAAACCAGGATGCAAACATTATTCAAAATTACGTTCACATTTGAAATAATTATATCAATAGTGGGTAGGAATGCATTTCAATGCCATAAAAACATGTTTCAACCACTATTGAAATAACTTGCACTATTGAAATAATGTAATTATTCTAATGATGGTTCAGAATGCAGTTCAAAACCAAAACCACGTTTCAATCTACAGTTATTCAAATAATGCCCACCTCTGAAACAAGAATTGTGAGTTTTATATCAAAAGTGGGTGAAACATTACAAACGTTATTAAGATAAATCCTACAACATGCACTGACAAAACTTGTACTTTTTTCTTCATGAATAACATCCTATGCATACACGTGAGATAATAAATCTGTTGAAGATTATGATAATACCAACAAAATCAGTAAACATAATTCTTATTCTTCAATTATATATATATATATATATATATATATATATATATATATATATATATATATATATATATATATATATATATATATATATATATTACGTATATTTTGAAAACAATAGAGACGTTGGGCCACATTGCTTACATTTGCTTATAGTATAAAAATCAATTAAGCGTTATTAGTCCCCTACCGCTGAAACCGGAGGGGACTATAGGTTTCCTCTGAGTCTGTCCGTCCGTCTGTCCGTCTGTCTGTCCCTCTGTCTGTCTGTCAGTCTGGGCCACTTGGTTTTCCGCACTTTTTTCCTAAACGCTTGCAGATATTGAGCTGATTTTTGGTATGTGAGTATATCTTGATGAGTTACAAATCAAGTTTGCATTTCCTTCCGCTTCACTGATTTTTGACGGAATTACGGCCTTTTCAATTTTTAGGGGTTTCCGCAATTTTCTTCTAAACGCTTTCAGATATTGAGCTGATTTTTGTTAAGTCACTTTACCTTGATTAGTTATAGGTCAAGTTTCATTCTGCTTCATTGATTTTTTACGGATTTATGGCATTTTCAATTCTTAACGGGAACTAGATTACACTTGCCGGTAGGGGACTAGTATTGCTAATGCAATACTCTCAGAATGCTTGTTTTTATTTCAAAATTGGGTGTTGCAAATAGTGATTTATTGAAATAACGACCACCATGGAAATAATAATTTCAGTTGTAAACTTACGTTATTAGTCCCCTACCGGTGAAACCGGAGGGGACTATAGGATTCCTCTGAGTCTGTCCGTCCGTCTAGCTGTCTGTCAGTTTGTCCCATTTGGTTTTCCGCACTTTTTTTCAAAACGCTTGCAGATATTGAGCTGATTTTTGGTATGTGAGTGTATCTTGATGAGTTACAAATCAAGTTTGCATTTCGTTCTGCTTCAATGATCTTGTACGGAATTACGATCTTTACAATATTTCAGGGTTTTCCGCACTTTTTTTCTAAACGCTTGCAGATAATGAGCTGATTTTTCGTATGCGAATTTACCTTGATGAGTCACAGATGAATTTTGCATTTCGTTCCACTTCATAAATTTTTGACGGAATTATGGCATTTTCAATTTTTAACGGGAACCAGATTACACTTGCCGGTAGGGGACTAGTATTGCTAATGCAATATTCTCAGAATGCTTGTTTCAATTGTGATTGCAACCTTGTTTTGAAATACATTCTCAACAACTACACCTTTAAAGTGATAAAATTACACCTACATAAAGAGAAATGAAGCTATTTCCTGATTAAAACTTGAATATTTACAAATGAGGAACATTTCAAGAGCATTGAAGAAGCCATACTGATTCCCATACTGGTAATGGCCATAATCCTGTCTTACGCATCATAGCAAAACAACTTGATACCTACTGTAAATCACCCAATTATTTTCGAAACAATGTATGAATAAAACAATGTATATGTATAAGCGAGAAAAATTTCTCACGAGTTACAATTATTCTTTATACATTCTTTTAAACCTTAAATATACGCGAGAATGAAATTTTCGCGAGCGAAAGATCGCGAAAATAAAGTTCATGCGAATAAAACCTGATCTACATTTGTTCGTTCCGATTGTAACGCACAATATGATTGGATAAAAAATTTACTTTATATCATATAAATTGGGTTGCCTACGTCACAATGACTTGCGCCAAAAACGTATCGATCCGCCTGCCGTTACATTTAAATTTTTTACAATTTGAAGTCATTTTTTTTAAGGGTAACCATCTTTTTTCTTATACAAAATAATTCACAAAAAAACTAAATTATATAAAATGAAATTTATAGCTACCCAATTTATACGGTATAAAGTGGGTTGGAACAGTTTACGCTTTTTTATAAACCGCCCAACCCACTATACCGTATAAATTGGGTAAATATTAAATTTCATTCCTTAAATATAGACCTACAAACCAAATATCAGCATAAAATACAAAAGTGTCTGCAAATTTTTTTTATGAAAACCAAGATGATCAGACAGACAGACGGAGAGGAAACATAAAGTTCCCTCCAATTTCACCGGTAGGTGAATAATAACGTCAAACGGACATCACTGCAGTATCTCCCAACACAATACAGTCCTTATTTGATTGTTTAAGAGAGACCAGGTCAATACCATCTTCTACGAGGGATACTGAGAAGCTGTCACAGTGGGAGACTATAAATCCTAATCTCTCTCCCCTGATCTGTGATCTATCGATCTCCACTTAAGTCAAGGAAGGATGTAGTTGTCAATAGTTGTACACCGAAGGTCTACAAAGTCACATTCTTGACACACAGAGAATATATTCACCTTATTAATGCCTTTTGTCGCTGGAAGTTATGCAACAAACGTAAATTTGATTATCAAAGAGTATGTTTATTATACAAGACATTTTTAAATTTTTCTTAATTCAGCCAATTTAAATTTAACCAAATCTGAATCGTAGACAGTAGTATATTAATCATATTAAGTAAATAAATAATACATACCACAAAAACAAGATAAATTTACAAAGTTTAAAATAAACTTCCTACAGGAATCTTATACCAATGTTACTCCATTCTAAAACATTTTAATGTTTCTCAATTTTTTCATTCAAATTTTTAACATGGATCGACATTTTTATTTTCACCTCGATTTTGGCTGCTCTGTTTATATATTGCGATCAATTTTGTATCTTCTGTAGAAATTAGGAGAAATCTTCATTTTCATTCAAATTGAATGGAAAAATACCATTTGGCACTTATTTGTTTCAGGCAGCCATGTCAAAAAGTAATAAAAATTTTATCTAACTAATGCTCTTTTGAATTAATTTTCTTACCCGTCCTGTGAATAAAGTTGTGACTTGAAAAGATTGAAGTGAGTAAACTTGATCTGTACTCTTTCACCGGGATTAGCGTAAAAATCATATGTACACGTTATATCCCTTGGGTATTGATGTGAATACCTAGGGCTGCTGATGGTACCTCCAGGCGAGGAATTCTGTGAGATATTTCTGCTGCATTTGTGTACTGAAAGAAAGGGAGAAAATATTACTCCATAAATACATAATTGATAACATTGATTATCTTGCATGAGCATGGAATAAAAAGATGTTCTTTTTTTGCGTACAAAGTGCCTATTTGAGACAAAAGTTACTCTCATGTAATTTCAAATTTGAATCTTATTAGATATTACAGGAGATCTGACTATTTTCATTTTGTACCTTCAAAAGTAAAGGAATGCTTACAAAATAAAGTTCATCATTGAATGTAAAACGAAAACTGTAAACTATTATTTGCATCATCTTTTATTTGCGATTCGTCAGTTTGAAATCAATCCAAGAGTATTACAAATGTAATTTTGGCGACTGACGTTGCAAATCATTGGTTCGCAACGAGAAATATTGGCGAGCTAAAGAAGGTCGCGAAATTCGCGGACATTTTTGCAAGCGAATAAAAGTTGGTTTGAAGTATTAATGTTCAATAATTTTCTTGTTCAAATGGATTCCATTTTTACCTGAAATGGAATTGGTGAAAAAAATCCCGTACTAAAACATTAAATGAACAAGAGGCCACAAATTGTAATTTGTGCAGGAGACGACAAATACATGTATATCTGTTTATCTCCCATTAACTCTATACATATTTTTCATCAAGTTCTCAAAACACAGTCACTTTCTTAATTGTATGGGAACATGTTTAGAGCAAAACCTTCTTGTTTATATTTTAGTTAGCTTTATGCAATTAAATATTAATTACTTAGCAGATTTTTGAGACGATTAATTGCGGTCGGTGCGTGCATGTGTTTATTTTAAATGAATTTTATTTTTTTTAATCATTTTACTTTTAGATCTAGCTATAACACTAGCAGGGTTCGACAGTAACCTTAGTCCGTTAGTCTCAGACTAATACATTTTCATTCGGACTAATAAAATATGTGGCTAATTAGTCCGAACGGACCAATAAAAATTTCTGAAAAACAATATGAATAAATTACCAATGTCCGATTCTCGACAACTTTTACTGGAAAACTGGTATTTTTAGATTTCTAGCTTTTGGCGGGTAGTCACGCAATGCTGGGTCAATTCAGCGCTTAATTTTTCGACTGATCGATTTGAAGTATAAGGTTTTAGCGATCATGATTTAGTATGACACTTTTAAGAAAGACGTTGGACGTTTTGGATGTAATGTAAAGACAAAAAAAAAAACAAAAAAAAAAACGGAGACCGGGAATACGATCGTACTTGCTGATTGCAAAATTCAATGAATCTGTGGAATAATATATTTCACGCAAATACTTTGTTTATTTCAAAAAATAATACGTATTTTAATTGTCACGTTAAATTAATGTTAAAAAGCATTGATGTTTCTTTTTTTTTGACGGACTAATAAAATCACGTGCGGACTAGTAAAAGTAATGAAGCACTAGTCCGGCTGGACTAAAGCCTTAAAAAGTTAGTGTCGAACCCTGACTAGGACTCTTTTGAAAGGAGTAACCATTACTCCAAAATTTGATCGATTCTACTTGCAGATCGTGGGTTCAGACAGGCCAAGATGTGTGGATAAGTGCCCCAGAGATAGCTATTTCGATGTTGTGGTCAATGGGGATTCGAGACAATTAGACTCTCCAAGGGGTCATTGTTGACCCTCCTTGTACAATTGTGCACAAAATAATCAGAATTAACATTTTTAAGCCTGAGAAGGAAATAGTGATATTTAGTGTCCAAGGACAACATGCATTCCTTCTTTATCATGACGGAGCAAAAAGCACTTTATTTTTCATCTTAAACTGTGTGATGGTGATTTCTACAAAATGATAAATGATAAATTAATATGGACCCCCATAAAGAAATATTATTCAATATCATATCACCCTAATTTAATAGGGCTTGGTGGTTCTGGGCCATTTTACTCTTTTTAAACCTGGACATGTACATGTAAAAATATAGGAAATTGCATGATGCAAATACAGTCCTTTCATGAGGTAAATCCATAAATATATCGACTTAACAGAAAAGCAGAACAACCAAGCAAGAAGTTTCTATACTTATTTCTATACGTTGACACGTGATTCCAAACGAACCAATGAAAAAACAAATTACAAAAAATGAAAATTATATTAAATACTATAGCTTGAACCTTTTTCTTGGACTACATTGAAATCATTGTATTTGTTGAAGGTTTAATTTTCTTCGATTTGATAGGTTATTCACGAATATACAAATTCAACAAATACTGATGCAAATGTAATCTCTGTTAAAATTGGATGTTCACATACCATCAATTAAGTTGATGGTTTATATATCCACGAATATTGGTTCCCCAATAAATAAAATGATTGCAAAGCATACATTTATAGAAATAACAATCATAGTCTACAGACATAGATTGATAATGAAATATTTTTGTTCACAAAATACGGCTGAACAAAACTGATTGGGGTGGTTGTTATTTTTGCATTTTCTATTAACATTTTGCTCTTGTCCATATTCTATATTGATTGTATCTTTTAAAAATATATATTATTCCGGATATACTGTAATATCACTTATTTTCATGGTTTAAAGAAAAAAAAATTGGTTCGAGGAGATTTGATTTCGTTGGTGAAGGATAGACTTAAAACTGTTGTATAGAATTTTAACATTTGGTGGGGGACATAAATTCGTGAGTCGTTTCATAACACGAAATCAACAAAAATTAAACCCCCACGAAAATTTGTGATTTCTCAGTAGTGTAACCTTTAGATTTTTCAATGCTGTGAAATATATAACTAAAAACTACAGCAAAAATTCATTTGTATATACTACAGATATTTGTTATCGAGTTAAAATGTAAAATAATGAAAGGTATAGTATCGAGTTTATCAAGTTGAATAATCTGCGAAACTGCAGTTTTGATATTCTGAAAGTATCAAGTTAATTAGTACAAAAATACTGGATGTCATGTTTTACTTATACGACTAATATAAGCATGAAGAAAATTCAGAAGGTATTACAAAAATCACAGAAAGTTATCAAGTCGGGTATAACAAAAAAAGGCTAGAAGATAATACATATATAATAAATGGAAAACTTACTGGCTGAGAATTTGGTTTGTTGATCATATTGATAATAAGAACTCACTAAGGTCACATACGAAAACAGCCAAAGTGATCTACCAAAGATAAACATGATCACACACAGCTCTAAAAACACCGAGTAGTAGCGAGAGAAATAGTTATCCGGCAAATTGTCAGCGTTGCAAACAGTCCCCGTTTACCATAATGACACCGGATGCAGAAATCAGTGATGGAATGACAGGACAATGTATAAAGAGAGACACACACTGATATAAAGCTCTATAATCTAACGTTCCACGTAACACTGTCCATTAACAAACACCGTACCAGCTATACAATACTTCAAAAAAGACTTCATTCGGAGAGAATATCCAATTTCCTTGATATCGATCACAAGTTGCCCAGCTGAAGCCAAAATATGACATTTGTAATAAACGGTATGACTTTCACATCTCCACTTTCACTCACTCTCTTTAACTATTTTCCCAATTTCCCTAAACAAAGAGGTTCTAAAAGCCTGGCCTGGTGTAAGAGTAATTATTTTGTCTTTCAGTTCGTGTAATAAAAAAGGGATGACTTTTTTTCGTCTCGATCAATTCGACAGAAGAAACTAGCAGTACCAAGTTATTTAGTAATTACAGATTAGAGGGTGTCTAACAACCTTTCGTGTGAGAGGACTGAAGTCGGTAATATGTTATGTGGCCCCCTAATTTCTTGTCTGGAAATAGAAATTACCGTTATTGAATTATGATAGTGATGCAATGCATAATTGAAAATTATGTTTTCTAGGAAAATAGTCATTCAAAGCACTATAATGATGTAGAGGAAATCGTCAAAGTATGCAATAAACAGTGATCATTTTTAATTTTTCATGATTTGCATTGCTAAGGCAAGTTTTTTGTGTTATTGTTTTAGAATTTTAAGATATAATCAAAATATAAAAAAAGGACTTAAAGTAAAAAAAGAGAATGTTCAGTTACATTTTTTTTCTAAATGAATTTAAATAACCAACGATTAGTGATTTTTGAGAACCATGCATGATGCATATGGTCGAGTCATCAGCCATGTTCTCACTCCTTAGTTCTTAGTGTTGATTATTTTTGATAATTTGTTTAACTGAAGTACATGACTGACCAGTAAATTTAAAACAGCAGTATAATATTCTTTGCAGAAGAAACACCTTTCAATTTAACCCCCTCCCTCCTATATAAAACCCCTCAAAATCTTTCACTCATATCAATCAGGAAAAGTTTGAATTGATATGTTTTAAATATAGATAATGAATTTTTATTTATATTATAAATCTCTGAAAAACAATAAGTAAAAACGCACTTAAAATAACCGATGATTGAATTTATTCTAACAAAAAGGTAAGTTGTCCTTTCTTTTTTGAATGCCAATGAAACGATTCTAGGGGAAGTATTACTTGATCTTATAATTATCGTAGGGTTTTTAAATACTAACAAACTTGTAAAATTGATAGTTGACAGTCTCAATATACTATATATTACCAGTTGTTTATCTCCGATGACATCTATTTACTTTAAATATAATTTCATATTTCACCACGAGAAAAAATCACATAAAATTGATAATTGTCTGGTGAAAAGTACTTCTTTTTTTTATCAACAGTGGAAAATGAAGATTAAAAGCTTCGATGACGAGAAAACACACAACAAAATTGAAAACAATTGGAGAGCTTTCTGCTTCCAGTGTATTTATCAAAGATTTTTTAAGTATATATAATATTGAGTAAGGTAGACTAGACTTAACATGTCATCTAATTCTTATCATTTAAGATTGATGTTTCATTAATGATCGTTATAGTGATGGAGAAAACAGTAAGCGATTATATTCAAGAATATGCAAATATTTAAAATTATCAAAAGTAAGGCCTTGGTTTTGTAAACTATTTAATACTCATGAAGAATATTAACACAATTAATGAAAACCTAATTCAAGCATTGAATAT